GAAAAAAAACCTCATATAATAATAATAATAATAATCCGGGACTGTGCATAAGAATCCATGAAAGATATTACTTTATTGGCCCTGGTATGGATAATAATTCACAAATAATAGATATTTATTTAACCACATGTGCTGATTTCATGCATTTAAGCATTAGACCATAAGTAAATTTTACGTATTAAAATCGAAAACGGTACCGTACTGGGTTTTGTCTACAGGAGTTCGTGCTTCGAGCAGGTCATTCCATTCTCATAAGCCTTGTAATGAAGAAAGTGTACCGTTTTAGCAAGGTTTACCTATGTCGAAACTAACTCCGGCTATTGTTATTAATGCATAAAGATCGGAAATTGTTGTTCTTATTATTGAATAGATAAGGATGTTTATTTTGTTATTAATCTAATCGTAAATTTATATTTATATTTGAAATTAATTAATTTTAATTGTTTAAATATTTATTTGAAAATATACAATAGGCCTATATAATAGAATATAATTTAAGTTTTTAATAATATTCAATGATTTGAAAAAGCAATAAGTAAATAGAATGTTACAATTATATTATTTTACAGTGTGGGTAAAGTGTAATATTTTACAAAACGGATAAAATTCGGACAAGGCAGGACAAACAAAACAACAAAAGATGATGTAAGGATGGCCCATTAAAGTTTTCTTTAAAAAGTAAAACTGATTTCCAATGGCGTCCTACAAAACCAAAGTGCCACGCCTATCAGGTTTCATAATTTTAGTATAGGCCTATTCTAAAAACAAAAGGCGGGTGGCAGCACCTCATACACTCTGCTATTTTCCAGAATATATCCCTAGGAGTTCAAATAACCCTGTGAAAATAAAAAGAATAGCCATGTCTACTACTGTATATGTTAGCAAAACACAAGTTTGACGATTATAAGATTGCCGACTACAATTTAATATCACACACGAAAACACATAAAAACAAAGAAGATGTTGAATGCATATAAGATTTTCATAGTCCGTTGTTGTAATTACTATATTACCTACATAATTGTATACAATAATATTATACCAGGTATAACGTAATTGCAAAGATCGATTCTTTCCTCAATGGCCTAGTTGGTTTAGGCGTGGGCAGCAGAAGGTCCCGGGTTCGAATCGGGATCTTTCGCATACATGGCGGACGTAATAACAATTTGACCAAGAAGGCGTTGCAGTGATCCAGGCGCCAGTAGAATTTGAGTTTTCATTCTGTTAACGTGTCTGAATCACAATTTTGATATAGCAATAATTTCTTATATTAGGCCTATTATAAATAGGCCTAATATTTTATACGTATTATATATATTATATATATTTTATATATATAAGTATATATATATATATATATACATATATATTTAAATAGGAATATGGCCTCATAATGCAAAACAATTTGAAATTAAAACGGAACAGTAGAGAAAATCCGATCAGAATGACAAAAATAAACTAAGTATCCACTAGAAGACATCACAATTTCTGCAGACGGGTCCGATGCACTGATGAGGCCTGAAAAGGCGCAACGGAATTGTCTGCAGATATTGGGATTTCTTCCAGTAGATACTTAGTTTATTTTGCCATTCTGATAGGATTTGACAGTATATAATGTGTATATATATAATATTACAATATTTATATTAACCAGGCACAACTTGGATGCAAGAGATCATTTCCATGCTTAGGTACGGATGCGATGCTCAAAAGGCAGACCAGGAATATATAGAAAATCGTTGGATGTTCATTGATTTCCCATCTCAACAACCAAAAGTATTTTCATCTACTAGATTGATAAAGACTCATTTACCTCCACGCGCAATACCAGCACAAATGTTAGCAAAAAAGGCCAAGGTGAGAGTGGGTAATTTTAGACGTTCTTCATCCTTAGTCTATAGTTTCCATATTATTGCTACATCGTAGCTACAGTGATTTCACTACAATTTACAATTGTTACACTGCGTAGATGTCTGCAACGCAATCGACAATGCTCACCGATTAGACCAATCAATCTGCTTCAACAACAAAAAAAGTCGGCAATATCATGTAGCGATTTTATGGAAGCCAGGTCTTATATGGAAGCCAGGAAATTCTTTATTCGTTGGCCTATCATAGAGTTATTAGTGATAATTAGCGACACATTTTTCTAATACAGTACCATATTTATTCGAATAAACGTTTAAATGAATACCCCTCGAATAAACACCCCCTTTAAAGCCTCATTTGTAATAAATGCCTCCCTCGAATAAACGCCCCGGGGAGTTGTTTTTTCCTCGAATAAACGCACCCTGAATGACGGTACAAACTGCAGAAGCAACATAATTCTCAACGCATTCGATTAATATTCTACTTAGATGGAATTACATTTTTTCCTAACCTGGTAGGGATAAGTAAGTATTTATGAAAATGCAATAACATATTTTGAAGGTAATGTGTTGTAGTTTCACATTTACATTAAAATTAATGGGCGTTAATTCGAGTATATACATATCCATTTCAAACCAAAACAATAAATAAACGCCTCCCTCGAATAAACGCCTCTCTCGAATAAACGCCCCTCAAAAACCCTTCTCAAAAATTCGGGGCGTTTATTCGAATAATACGGTAATTCTGTGAGAGTTACTGTAGTAACTTAAACTTAGTAATCAATTCAATATAGAGTCTATTACTTTCAGCTTAATCAACATTGACAAAAATTAGTGGATAATTACGAGTCGTTTCCAATTGGATTCGTGTTAAAATCTTTTTTTTTTTTCTTTCTTAGATAATATTTGTCTCTAGAAATCCCAAAGACACTGCTGTTTCCTTCTTCTATTTCCACAAAACGGTAAAACGCCTACCAACCTATGATTCCTGGAATGAATTTCTTGAAGATTTCTGCGCTGGGAATCGTAAGTATCTTACTATTCTTGATTTTCTATTAGTAATATGTTTTATTATTATCATTATTAATATCTTTATTATGTTTTCATTACTATGATTATTTTATATGATATTGTATCATTAGTCTTATTAACATTATCGTTACCACTACAATTCAGATTATAATTATCAAGTTTTTGTGTTTAGCGTAATCGTAATCGCAATGGTAATCACCACAACTATTTTATAAGTAGTTTATCATAAACCTCTATAATTAAATTACAGTACTATTATCATTATTTGTCTACGTGTTTTTACACTTTTTATTACAGTTGTTCGTGGAGACTGGTTTGATATGAATTCCTATTGGTGGAGTCAACGCAATCATAAGAACGTATTATTTGTCAAGTACGAAGACATGCACCGAGTAAGAAGCAATGCGTATTATTTGTTTATAATTATAAATTACCGCCGCCAAGGAGGTTATGTATTAATTTCCGTCTGTCTGTCGGTCTGTCGGTGTGTCGGGCTGTCTGTCTGTCTGTGGGTCGGAGTGTCTGTCTGTCTGTTAGTGGGATTTCGCAAAAGCTAATGAATGGATCCATCATAAAATGTCCTTATATTGTATCCTGCGTACCTTTTAATATACGAGCGAAATCCCGTGCGCACGACTTACCTGGGCAGTTCATACAGGCCCGTAGCCAGGTTCTTCCTGGGGGGGGGGTGTTCTGGGCGTGAGGTCCACGGTCAAAGCCCCGGTGGGGTCGGCGATTTTTGTGCTTTATGGGTCTAAATAAGAGGGGGGTTTGCTAGAAAAGGGGCGTTCGCCCGAACCATAAACCCACCTCCCCCCCCCCCTGGATACGGGCCTGTAATATTAAGATTAAAGTTGGTTTTACTCACAATTAACATTGATATGCTCAGTTATTTGTAGGTGACAGCAATGCACTGTTGTGATTCGATACCGTAACGAATAATACATATTACTTTAATGTGTTTAGAATCTTAGTGATGTTGCTAAGAAAGTTGCATCGTTCCTCGGATGGACTATCACGAACAAAGATCTACCCGAGCTCTTAAAACACTGTTCATTTGAGTCTATGAAGTCAAACAAGAAAGTCAACTATACCGAAAATCCACGGATGGACACCAAAAATGTGCCATTTATGAGAAAGGGTTAGTAATTTCATCGTTGGTCTTTCAAATAAATATATGACCTGATAATGTTTTGCATCATGTCATTAACATGTAGCCTAGGGAAGTCTAAGTAGACTATGCATAGATCACACGAAAAATGTATGTCATAAGTTAAACCATAAATTTAGAAAGCCCACCTACATTGTTCAATTATTTGTTTTCACCGCAGGGAAAGTTGGTGATTGGAAAAATCACTTTACCGTCGCACAAAGCGAAGCTTTTGATGAACTTTATCGAGAGAAGATGGCTGGTACTGGTTTGGACTTTGATTACGAGCTATAGTTGAAAAAAAAAACACAGTGAAGCAATTCAAATGTTTAGCTAGCTCATAAGTACTTAAAAATGTTACAGTGAAGTTTTCAAATTCGAGAAATGGGACAAACCTAAGACAACTTTCAAGTGTGCACCTCGATTATGGAAGCTTTTCCTCATGATATTAAGACGTCGAAGAGTGTTATGATAGTTCAAGAAGCGACTAAAAACCCTGCTATTTGAGCGCCATTGAACATATATAGATAATTGGCGCTATAAAAGTTTTTGTGATTGAATGATTGAATGATAAAATGATAGTTATCTCAGGACAAATGTAGCCTGTAATGTAAGTAATAAATTAGTTCTAATATTTTCTAATACTAACATTATTGATAGAAGCGTTCGCTATACGTAGGCTACACCCATTGCTTAACAATGGGTTGAAAGCTTCAAAGGAGCTTTCCTTGTTTTTGTAGGTAGCTTTGATCAGTAGGGTAAGAATGCGTTGATCTTTAGTTTATTCACAGCTATGTCACCTACTAGAGGTAATATTTTGATTAGTCAAACACTTTTGGTACTTGTGCATATAAGCTTGCAAATATGGATAATTTTTCATTCCTGATGATTACATAATTAATGTCGAAATATTGAATTCCGACACGATGGCGTGCATATCGATGCTTGGAGTATGTATTATACTATCTTATATGAATAATCTAATAATCATTATTGCCATATCATACTGTATCATATAATATCATGTCACCTTATTTTAATGCGTTCATAAGTCAATTTTGGTTGTTAAATCCGGCCTCCTAATAACCCAAAAGTATGAATAGCAATAAAGTAGAGATGAGTCTTATTCCATAAAATCGCTATACGAACTTGGCGGCAGCTTTTGGAGACTGCAGCGACAGTGTGGCAATTTTGTTTAAAATGTTCACACCGTAGTAAGACAGGCAGGAACATGCTTACCCACCAAGTCATTTTAGACCAACATTATAGAGATAAAAAATCCACGATCTCACAAATGTCAATTTTGCTAATTATACTGCGTATGATGTGATGTATTCTTTTTGTATTTTATTTACTTTCGCTGCTTACATGTGTATATATGTACATATATTTACAGTTTGCGCGTATGTATGTTTATGTATGTACATGGGTATGTTATTTTATTATTATTATTATTAGGGATTTTTTTTTTTAAATTCTGATGTTAATGTTTTTTTTTTGTTTTTGTTTTTGTTTTTTTTTTCGGGATTGGAAAGGGAAGGGAGGGGGTAACTTCGATTTCGGGATTGGTAAAGGGAAGGGAGGGGTAATTAAGACTTTGATTTTTACTTTTTGTTAAGCTCATTTACTTTTACTTTTGATTTGTCATGTTTTGATTTTGTTTGTTTTCTTATATTTTTCTTGGACGCACCGTCTTCTACGTGTGCCACTGTTGTAAAAGTGTAGCTTCCAAATAAAGAATATATTATGTGGAGTAAGTGGAAATTCATATTACACCTGCGACCTCATAGGGCAACAAGTGATAGCAGTATTTCAATATCATGCTATATGTAAGGGAATAGAAAGCGTTTTACTGGGAAGAAAAATATCTTCGACAGAACGGATAAGCTGACACCTAAACAACCCTCTAGAAAGATAGCCCAGAGTAAGAAGCAATGCTTCACTTTGTGTGGGCTTTATTATTAACAAGGTGTGCATGCACTTCTCGAGGTGACGGAACTAGGTGGTGCTGCGTTATGGAGAGTAATGTGTGACCGGAAATGGTCTGCAGTCAGTTGGTTAATTGTTACCAGTGATGATGGGGTACATCAAGATAAAACTATTTACCGGTATGTAATGCATGAATAAAGTTCGGGGTTTGTCGGGTAGTGAAATAATTATTGTACATTTTAAGTGCTCCCTCCATGCATAAGTGTAAGCTAAATTACGGTGATTAATTAGCTAAGATATAGAGACAATTATTCCGAAGTTCCCTCTTTCCAAGAGGGGATGCAAATGCTTTGTGAAAATGAGTACGCCGCGGTACTCATTTTCACAAGGGAATACACACAACCAGTGGCGTAGAAAAATATTTTTCATTGGGGGGGGGGGGATGATTGGCGTGTTAGCCAGTGTCGTAACCCATGTAACCCCTTCTCCACTTCAAAAACTGTCATAACTCCTTTGATCTATGCTGCCCAATGGCGTAACCACTGGAGGACAAGGGGAAAATATCTATCATTGAAAATCTTCCCCACCGTCCATTTATAAATGCCCTTTATCCCCTGAAAGTGCCTAAAAACCTCAAATTTCGCGCGCATTTCTTGTTAATTTCCTCTAAAAATTGCACATTTTAGGGAGTTTTGATCAATTCCAACGAAATTAGAATTAAAAACACCGGGGGACAAGGGGAAAATCTTTCCCCACCCCTTGACAAATGCATCCTCTGAAAGTGCCTAAAAATTCTCGAATTCTTGCACATTTTAGGGAGTTTTCATCAATTCCGACGAAATTAGAATTAAAAACACAAAGGTATTTTGCGCGCACTTTTTAGGGCTTTTTTAGTTTTATCCTTTTAAGTTATTTAAACACATAATAGTCCAAAACTCAAGAAAGACAAAGTTAAGATAGATCATTTTAACCTAAAAGAAGGGCCTCAATGTGTAAACATGGTGAAAGAATATGTTTGTAATAAATAAAACCATGATGAAAATGCTTATATTTAGTTTCAAACACACGTATGTGGCCTATATTATAAATAAGATAAGCCCTATGTCGTATTGTTTTCATGGAGAGTGGGGTGGGGTGGGGTGAGTATGGTAAATTACTAACCGTGAAATGAGGATTGTATGTTGTTGTGGTTGTTGTTGTTGTTGTTATTGTTATTGTTATTGTTATTATTATTATTATTATTATTATTATTATTATTATTATTATTATTATTATTATTATTATTATTATTATGTTGTAATGATGTTGTTTGTACTGTTCTTTAATTTTATTAAAGAGGGCCCCTCAGTTAACCTACTGGGCTAAACTAGAAGGGTTACCCTCTTTAAAGATGGTTGAAATAAAAAATAAAAAAAATAAATACCCACTCTGACCCAAGACCCCTGTTACGCGCCTGGTGTTAGCGCCAATGTGTGCCCCTGTGCGGGGATGTGCCCCCCTCTGAAGCTGGAAACCTTGTTTTTGAAAAATAAATTGATGCAATTTGCTATTATAGGCCTAATCAATAAATTCCTCATCAACCGATATAACCTTAAACATTCTTGGAATTGACATAACATTACTGATGTCGTACACATCCTTCAGTGTGAAATGTGGCTCTCTTTGCAAGCACATCTAACATCTAAAGAAAGAAGAGCTTAGATTAGTAACAGATAAAATAATTTTGTTATCAACATTATACATTATGCTAATTTTCATCTTTGTAAGCGCATAAGAGTGCAAATTATTTCTGTGACAGTCTTTCTAAGCGTGTAAAGCTCCATTTTATCCCATACCGGTACATAGTCAAAATATTGGGGGGGGGGATGATACAATGGACCCTCCCCCCTCGTCAAATATTGGGGGGGGATATATCCCCATCCCCCGGGATCTACGCCTATGCACACAACTGGTTAGATAACAATATGAAAATGTTACATGAACACATGGGAAGGAAGGTCCAATCACGTTCTGTTGCAGAGCAAACGTCTGTACTGTAGTGTGTGTGTGTGTGTGTGTGTGTGGGGGGGGGGGGCTAGCCTACTGATGTACTGTGTAGCGGAGGACGATGAGGCATAATAAGACTAGGGCTAGGCATAAGTAAACAGTGCAATTATATGTGATAGAAAGTACACTTTCGAAAGAAATAAATTAAAATAGGCCTAACTCAGCTGCAGACGTACCTTGTTTAAGTATTATACAATGCTTACAAGGCGGCCCTTGTAGCCCTGGCTAGGCAAGCCATACATGTGCAAAGCAGTGCAGTGGTGTTTGCTTATCCATGAAAAATGCACGACGGGAAAGTTTGCCTTGCCAGAAAAAGGTTACGTACCGGTAATCGAGCTAATGACGTATGCATTCTAACTATATTGTGAGTGTGTCGTCACCAAAAAATAACCATTTTTTATTATAACCAAAATATTAATAACTACAAGGCTTGTGGGCGTAAATTCCCTTAATACGAATTAAGGGTAGCACCATCTCCTTGCCATACAAATTAGAGCTCCCACTGACGTCTCAGTCGAGAAATACGGGTAGCTGAAGTTTTTCTCGCAAATCTGACTACAAAACCATTAACCAATACAAAACCATTACATTACATATCGAAATTTCACGTTCCACTTCTGCGGGCTCCGAGTTGTGCTTCGCACACGCCGCTCAGGGCGGCGTTCCGGGAACCCTGCGTCCAGAGTAGGGATATTTGTGCCAGACTATAGGTTAGGATAAGAGCGATCAGATAACATATGCTAATTTTAACAATTCAAAAAATATGCAAACCTATGTCACATTGCATTTTCGTTTTTATTTACTATGGCTACAGTAGGCCTAAATTTGTTGACAGCATTATAAATAACCATTCTGTAGTGGCTGCGCTACGGGTGGTGGTGGGGGAAGGGCATTTTCCCTCCAGGAAATTGTCTTTTCCCCAGCTCTTCCCCCCTCCCCGAAAAAAAGAGAAACCGCAATTCTTCGGGGAGATAATAAAATGTATTTTCTACATATTAGTAGACTATCTTTATATAAAATCGATTAAATGAGCCTCTGAGACCACTAATTTGTCATATTTTTCGTGGGCTCCGCCCCTAGACCACTTTCGATACATTTTAGTCGACACTTGATCACACTCCCTTTGCTCTCGTAGATGACATTGCCCCCCCCCCCCAATAAAAATAAAAAAACAAAATCGTACTTTGCCCCTTATATGTCCCCTTCCATTCCAGATTTCAGACGCTGGCGCTGCCACGACTACGCATATTTTCTACTGTTGAGATTTGGCTATTTCAACTAATAAGCCAATTTGTTCGTAGTGCCAATATCCAAGGTCAATCTACTTAAACGTGTGTTGTGTGTACGATAACTCGGACACGAAGTACACTACAACTATCAAGATTCTATTACAATCAATGACATAACTAGTCATACAATAATAAAAATGAAAAACAAAACTTACGAAAATCCACGACATATCACAGACCAGACATGTCGATGCAATCATAAACATTTTACCCACATATAAACCCGGTTTGTAACCCGGACTGAAAAATACACAACAGGGATGGAGCCAGGTTTTTCCCGACTGTGGTCCGAGCTGACGTCTCCGATAGGGGCCGATGTCCCCAACGGTAGAAAATGGACGTGGTCGGCGCCGTTCAAAGTATTCCAAAAGTGGTCCGAGGGCGAAGCCCCTGAAAATGTTTACAATTTAGGTTTTTTTAAAGGCTTATTTAATCTATTTTTTCGGAAACTAATATATGGAAAATACATATAATGTTTTCTTTTTTCTCCTCGACGAATTGAGTCCTTTCCCGACTGGGGGGGGGGGACCGGGTCATGCCCCTCACCCCCACCCGCTGGCGCCACCACTGCTATACAATTCCACGTTACAAGCGCTGAGATTCGCTGGACACCACTCACACCTGCGTCACGCTTGCTGGAGCTGGCTGTTTATTATTTATGATACATTAAGACGCCACCCTTTGGACACCCCTGTTTAGGGGACACCCCAATATAAGGGGACACTTTTCAGCGAAATGAGGGGAAATACTGTATATCTATAACGTCCGGGCCAACCCAAGTTGGTAAAGTATGAAGTTCCCCAGAGATCTATCCTGGGTCCATTGTTATTTTTACTATTTGTCAATGATATGCCTTCAGTATGTACCAAAACTAAATTAATAACGTTTGCAGATGATACCAATATTTTCTTAAAACATAGTAACATAAATGAAGCATTCGATATAATGAATGAGGAGTTAAAACGCGTAAATATGTGGTTTAAAGCAAACAAGCTTACTGTTAATACAAAAAAAAACAAACTAAATTGATGGTGTTTAGTGGTAGAAGTACAATTATTAACACAGCGCATGTCGAACTCGTCATTGACCAGGACATTATTCAGAGATTAGACAAAATTAAATTCCTTGGTATCACTCTTGATGAAAAAATTATTTTTTCTCAACATGTAAATGTCATTGCTAGTAAGGTGTCTGCAATTATTGGAGCAATGAATCTCCTTAAAATCTGCTACCATGTCACATATTGCTTACTATTTATAAGTCTCTTGTCCTTCCTATTATAACGTATGGGATCACGATATGGGGTTCTGGTAGCATGAAAAACTTAAATAGAATCCATGTATTACAGAAGAAAGCACTTAGAATCATATGTAATGTAAATTATTTACACCCATCTGCTCAACTTTTTGTTAAAACCAATACTTTAAACATATTTGATTTATACGCAAAAAATTTTTTTTTAATGCCTGAACATATATTGATATATATACTTTAAGATACTGTATAACCAAAAAAAAATTCAAAAAATATATTTTTCCCCAAAAAATATGTTTGAAAATATGCTCTACCATTATTTACAAACAGGGAGTACTTATTTTCAACCGGAAGTAGTTTAAAATCTCCTAAAAAATCTTTAAAAATACCCCCTTTTACTGTAAAAACACCACTCAAATCATTAACACTTCCTTTATGTAGCGCCATCTATAGTTTCACTGTGACCATGCTTTTTGACGGCCAGATTCCTCAAATCTGGCCGCATTTGAAAAGTCACGGCCAAACTATATTTGGCCGAATTTGGCAGAATAGATTACATCTTTTTGAAAAGATTACATTTTTTTCAATATAGGCCTAACATAACGTAGACTTGTTTTGGATATTTTGTTTTTTAGCTTAAATTCTATATTTGATTCTAATCTTGTACTTGTTTGTACTTGCACTAAACACTTAATATATGTTCCCCGATTTGACGTAAGAGAGTTTATTTAAAAGATAACAGTTACATTTAATAATTTAAATTGTTCGGATGAAATATATTGTTATGAAGTTTATCCTCGTTTAAGCTTTATGAAGACAGTTCATTGCAAGTTTGTACCATATATTGTGCGTCTTTGTGTATGTTCCATCTTACTAGTGGAGGTTCTATCTCTTTTGAATATAAGTTAAATACTGTACTTTAATTAATTTATTATTGCCACTTGAATTGTATAGCCCTAGGTGCCGCTGTGGTCTTTATGTAAGGCGCCATATATCAATGCTCATTCGGGTCCGATGGCACCTCCAATTTCAAGCAAGTTTTGCAGAGACTTCTTCGAAGTTTAGATTCTGGAGTTAGGTTGCATATGAGAATGAAGAAGATAATTCTGATAGCAACATTGATTTATTGCTTTAAGTACTGCGACAATAACATTCAGAGGCGAATTTCGAAAGTTTAGATAAAAAGTATTTATGAAAGTTTTCATAGGTTTGTTTTAACGCCAGTTTGTGTTACTTTATGTAACTTAATTCATTCTAATTAAAGAGAGCCATGGATTTGCCAATAACAGGCCCTTAAAATTGCAGGTTATAGATCGACTACAATGTACATTAATATTTAATACATTTAATTCAAATTTAGGTCAATCTTAATATTGTGATTTTAAATAGCAAAGGTGGATTTAAGGAGGAGGGGTGGTATAAAAAAATTAAAAAAAATAAAAATTGATCGCCCAAACGGACATCTAGAAAAGACAAATTTCTTCTAAGCTGGTGTTATCTCGATCGAACCCACTTTCTCCCCCCTCCCTTTTTTCGGCCCCGGCCCTCCCCTTTCGGATATCTCTGGATTTTCCCCTGAATTGGCCTGCATGCCAGCAACTAAAGAACATAGGCTATTTATTTTTAACATTGTTCTGTGTGTATCATTTGAATTTCTTCAATTTCAAACGAATGACCGCTGATTTTCGTATAATTGTTGTAGTATTTCAAATGAATGTACCCACTGTTGTCTTCTAAGATGGTGTTATCTCGATCGAACCCACTTTCGCCTCCTCCCCTTTTGTCGGCCCCAGCCCTCCCCCTTTCGGACATCTAGATTTGCCCCTGAATTGGCCTGCATGCCAGCAACTTGAGAACATAGGCTATTTATTTTTAACATTGTTCTGTGTATATCATTTGAATTTCTTCAATTTCAAACGAATGACCGCTGATTTTCGTATAACTTTTGTAGTATTTCAAATGAATGTACCCACTGTTGTCTTGTAATCGGATTAATATCTGGCCGAATTTTGGCCGAATTTTGCCGTGAGATGGCGTGTGTTTGGCCTCTGTCGACTATCTGGCAACCCTGACTGGGAAAGCAGAGCTAGATAGAAAGAGTCTGTGAGCATTAGGCCTATCTGCTATCTATTCCATGTAAGTATTTTTGTTTGTTTATTTCGAACGTTGACTGTTGATTTGAGTTGCTAAATACCAGGACTTCAAGCGAGGGAGGTGTGGCTTCTTTTGGTGACGTCATGCAACATTACTATCGACTAATGTATGTAGGCTTAGAGAGGCCTAGGCCTAGTGCTTCTAGCTGCGTGGTCAGTGCTTGTCCGAAGTTCTAGAGAACTGATCTGATGGTCAAGCCTAACATTAGTGATGTGCTAAGACTAGAGCAGGAGCGGTCTCTACACCCTCTGTATGATGGACCCCGGGGCGGATTGTTGTTAGTTTATTATTACAGATCGATCCCTTGGGGCCTAGTTAAAATGCCCTATTTATATTAACAGCCATCCCTGAATTTTAGGCATTTTTATGCAAATTTAATTTAAAATGGAACCTGTCATCAGTTGATGCCGGTTAATTATGGTGATGGATAATACAGGAGCGTAGGTTGGTTTGAGGCGGAGCAATAAATGAAAAAGGAACCAAATCGCAAATTAAGATTTTTATTTTTTTTAATAGCCAGGGCTATGGGAGATGTTGTGTAAAAAGTAAAGTAGGTACATGTTTCTCATCTTTGAAGACTGAAGACCCCAAAACGAAGACCTCTATTTTTTTTCCTCTTATATTTTGATGATAATACACCAGGCTGTCATCTGTGAAATTTTCAAGGGTCTTCGTTTTATAGACACCCCATGGCGGCCTGCCTGTATACGGGAACGTCGGGGATCAATAATATTTAGACACCATGAATCCATACCAGTAAAAAGAAAAAAAACAAGCCATGAACAGCTTCGTACTCTTTGAATCCATACAAAAACGAACCATTAACAATAGCTTTGTACCTTTTGAATTTATTCAAGGCTACTAGTATTTTCTTTTATTCAGGTAAGCCTTGACCGGTAGGGCTCAGATCATTTCGGCCGCCAGATTTTTAACAATAGAAAATATGGCGCGCCAATAGAGTTCCATTGGTAGTGTGGTTGTTGCAGGATGCGGAAGCGTAGGCAATTCTATTATATTTCAGATTATTATTTAATAATAATCTGGCCGTTTTTTTATTTTCATATCTGTATGTAATGCCTGCTTATGCCCATGTGTTTTTCATTAGGTATATATATTTATTTTTGTGTTAATAAAATATAATGACGCCTAATGATACCGTAATTATTCACATTTTATACTAGACCTACTGTATTTTTCTGTAGAAAAAAGGCCTAGTTGTAGTTAATTTTAACTGATGATAGTCGTACACTAATGAGTTGTGTGTCACTATAATGTAATTTTGTACTTTTTATCTTTGGAATGTTATAAACGGATGTTCGTTGTTATGAATTATTGTAACAATTATATGAGTGCAGAAACTGATTTACCATGATAATGATTTTAATTTGTTCTTTACAGATAGACGGATGAGGGAAAATATATTCTGCCTAAAACTAGTTTGATTGATGGTTAATTTTATGTTTTGTATTGTTATATATATATATATATATATATATATATATATTAGATGTGTATAAGAGACAGATATATATATACTGTATATATATAAATTATACTGTAAATATTTTTGCGTGAATAACATGTCAACGCAAAAAAAAAAATCTAAAATTCAAACATATCAACAAACGAAAAATGAAGTTGTATACAGTAAATATTTTCCCTTTTTATTCATGTCACTTTCTCAACCATCAAACGAAATCAACACATGTATTTAATTAGAAAATAACGTTATACATAAAACATATCGGAAATGGTTGAACACAAGGCGCAAGATGTGTAAAATATTTTCTCATTTTATTCACCAATTCTCAACATTGAAAATAAATAAAAAATTTAAACATATTTCAAGTGACGAAACAAAGTTGTATACTATACAGCCGCATATTCTTTTACATCACATTTTTATTTATTACCGTATCACGCAAGAAAAATAAATCTAACGTATCAACATCAAACATTTTCACATTATACATAAAACATATCGGAGGATGTACAATAAAACTAACAATACATAATAATTACTTATTTGTCATAGGGCGCCTATTATATTAATAACACACATTCTATAATAATAACAATAATATACTTTATGCAAAACACGGAGACACTTGAATCACCCATGAGTGTTTTTTCATCCGTGAAGTCCGTCATAGACCATACATAGTTAGAAAAGAAAAAATTATTGAAAACAAAATGAGTTAAAGAAAACAACAAAAACATAATATTTTAACTACCAATGAAACTATACCCCGCTGGACACCAACCCGGTATTTCTAAGTTTCGGGGATAATAATAATGTTTTACTGTATCTTTAAACAAATATAGGCCTAGATTTAAAATTCTTGTTTTAATAGTACGTTATGTTCTTATACTGGTAAATAAATTCTTAATTATTCACTGTAGGCCTTATTGACGTATCTAGCTGTTCTATGACTACGTTCTTCTCATTAGCGGCTGTTGTGTATTCGGTGATCCCTTTGGCGTTCCATACATTTGGCGCGGCGGCCGAAATGACTGGCGGCCGAAGTGGTCGAACACCTTATCTATGGCATGTCCATTCGAAATTGCAATTTTTGTATACTGTACTTTTGTATAGTAAAAACAATAGTAAACCAAAGTGCTAATTTGTATGTGTAGGTATGAGAAAATACAAGTTAGATCACGTTTGAAATTCAAGGTTGAAATTCATTGGGAAATAGGCGAGTCGAATGGCCAGGTACGGTACTTGTAAGCACAGCTCATGTTGTGGATCACTTTGTTTTGCAGCTCAGTGCAATCCTCATCAAACACAGTAATTTCTCTCTTAGCAGTGTGGAGCGTGTCCAATATGGTTGATCATATTGCTAAATTTAAGTGGTCTTAAAAAATTATCACCCAACCGGGTTTCGCCGACCCCACCGGGGCTTCAACTGTGAACCTCACGCCCAGGAAGACCTACCTCTCTAGGCTAAGGGCAAGGCTGGGCAGCCGTTTAAACCAATTTTAAATTGTCATTTAAACGTGCAAAGTATTGCTAATTAGCACAAACTTCCTTAGCGTGTATCTTGCTAATTATGAGCCCGAGATCAAACATTTTTCATTTTTTATCATTTCTCATTGGTCCCAATCACGTATTAAAATTTGAACTGAATCCGAGAGATTGATGTTTTTTTTTTTTTTTTTTTTTATTGAGGTTTTTTTTTTTTTTTTTTTTTTTTTTTTTGGTTGATTTGCAAAAGTAAGAAAATAGAATCAGTCGATCATCTCCTCTTTGATTGTGAAAGTTTATCCACCATAAGAAATATGCTTTAGCAACCTAAAAAATGATTTATGTAATATTAATGAATATTTTTGGGATATTTTTTTGAAAGGTTCACAGGAATTTAAACATCATCTACTGTACTTCAAGACAATATTTATAATGTGTATAAAGAAATTTGTATGATTTTTGATAAACATTGTCAATCTTTTTTTACCCAAGGCCATTGCTCATAGACATAAATTAAAGAAAGAAATTACCACCCCAATTTAATTTTTAATTTATTTTTTAATTTTTACTTTATATCTTGACTTAATGTAAACAGCTGTTTTACACTCTGTATTAACTTTGTATTTTGATTTATATTGTTTTATATCGTTTATACATTGTATTTTCTGGGTCGAACCTCTTCTGCGCTAGAGTGTTCCTCCGTTTTAAAGGAGAGACCAATAAATCGTATCGTATCGTACGACATTGACATGGAATTACCCTATATTTTTATTAGTAAATTAACATGTACTTATCTAATTTTGAAGCATTCTTTTTTATTTTATTCTAAGTAAAATTCTGAAATCTGTAAATTGAGATGGATACTCCTGATGCATGGGAAAAAAGGTTGGTACAAATTTGTCAAGGATCGACTAAAGAGGACGAGAAACAAGAGACGTTTGATGACGTGGCCGATACGTTAGATCAGGTAAACTCGATGGGAGGCCAGACTATAGACCAGTATTCTATGGCCTACCAACAAACAATGATCTCATCCCTACACAAAATGGCTTAGGTAATGATCAGGTAAAGCACGATGGGAGGCTAGACTATGGCCTACCATCAAACAATGATCGCATCCACACAAAATGGCTACATGGCCAACCCATCAATATTTCACCTATGATCAAACGGGGTTTTTTGTCAAGGATGAAAAACACATTTTGCCGGGAAGAAAATGCCAGTCCCATTTTTTACTGATTGATCATTGATCAAATAAACCATTCAAACATATTAATTGTTAAGTTTCCGGGAGCTTGCCAAAGGTTCCCCCTCTTCTTCTAAATAGGCATTTTTCGTTTTGACTACGCGGCCAGTCTACTATGACATAAAGGCTACTATCTGTCTCTTATACACATCTAGATGTGTATAAGAGACAGATGTAGGCCTAATGCAATATACTTCATTTTAACAAAATAAATATGTTTAAGGCTGCAAAGGAAAGTGGTTATACTGCACCTCAATATTGCAGCACCCTACTCTCACGGTATATACCCTGTCTCTTATACACATCTGTCGCGGAAGCTGTCACAACGCCGATATTAGCCAGTAAGGTTTGTGAGCATGCGCAGATATCTGTTACGCTCTATTAGTTCGTAGTAGACTGGCCGCGTAGTCAAAACGAAAAATGCCTATTATCAACCACGCTACGCTCTCGTCGGCGACATACCCCAGTCGGGAAAATTGTAATTGTGTATGCGCATTTGATTTACTGCCTGCCCCAAAAATCGGAAAATCTCGGAAAATTCAAAATCGCATTATGAATAGCACATTTTAAAGGACCAACAGATTTGAAAAAAAGTTATATTTTACTACATAAATCTTTAAATTGACTCTCAAAAAGGCGGGTACAGATATTTGAAAATGAAACCCAGAATAAGGGAAACCGTGGAACTCCTGTATAACTGACATATGTTTTACAATAATTTAATGGACATAAATAGGCACTCAAGTCAATGGTTGTATGATATATTTCTTCACGATCTGTCTACGCGTCTGGACAATAAATGTCAGAAACGTTAGACCCAGACTCGCTGTAATGATAATGATTGTCATCCAGTTTGAAGCTATAAGCAAAAGAATACAGTAACGGTATTATTTACGTGTCTGAATTTGTGTAATTGTAGGCTCATGACCTACTTAAATATACAAATTTAGCAATTTGAATATGACATTTAATTTGACAGACAGTATCTGTAATCTGTTGGCATTGAAAATGACAACTTTCGTTTAAACACCTCACTAAATACTATAGACAACTGAGTACAATAAATGTAGGCCTAATGCAATATACTTCATTTTAACAAAATAAATATGTTTAAGGCTGCAAAGGAAAGTGGTTATACTGCACCTCAATATTGCAGCACCCTACTCTCACGGTATATACCTGATAGAAAGGCCAACATTCTTGACTTTGGATGTGGAACCGGACTTGCAGGCGAACAGGTAAATATATTAATTGGTATCATTTTAAAAAAAATTAGGAAGTGGTCCCTGCAAAACAAAAATGTTGCTCTATTGTGAACTCTGAGAAAGACAGCCAAAAAATATCAGCCAAAAAATATCAGCCAAAAAATATCAGCCAAAAAATATCAGCCAAAAAATATCCGTCCAAGAAAGTGGAGAAATAATGTATTTATAGAGAGTAGTGAAGGATCCTCGAGCCCAAATATAAACCTCAATATTGACCCCATTTAGCCTGACCTTTCTGACACAAGACAATACTTTCTGGAGTGTCAATTAAACTTAACTGACCAATTAGTACAAGACTAGGATCACGTGCTTGTCACGCACACACACCTCCGCACACACACACGTATTGTCTCACAAACGCACGTGTTTGCGTAATTGTTTACACTGTTGTTTTGTGGGATCTTAGCAACAATAATCAAATACGTGCAACAAAATTGGAAGAAATATTATTTGATTTTATATGATTTTTAGTCAATGAATTATAAAAATTAATGATTTTCGTTGAAAATCCAAGATGGCCGCCAAAATGGCCACCAAACAACCCCATGGGACATTTTTTTTTATGGGAACATCAAAATTCTTTCATGAGACACTTTGAGGATTACAAAAATGTTAGTTAAAAAAATATATCCTAGGGGTGCATGGGAACCCCCGTTCCTACCCGACTATATAAACATCCACAAACAAGTTAAAGTCTGATAGTAACTCTATTTAAAAATGAATGATTAATAAAATGTATTACTGCTCTAAAAAACATTGTTTGATGGATTCAAGAGTTTACCAAATTTTTTTCTTTGGAATAATTATAAAAAAAATCACAACCTCCCGAGCTCTTTAACCATAATAGATGGTGAAATTCTTCTCAATTGCTTCATTGATTAAATTGTTATTTAATTTTATCTAGCTGCATCAACTTGGTTATCAGCATATTGACGGTCTTGATTGCGCCCCCAAGTGTTTGCAAGTTGCTGAAAACAAACAGATATACAGACGATTGTTCTGTGATTTTTTTTCTGGACAGACTTTGAATCTGGAAACAGGTAAAATAAAACCACTGATCTCTAAATAATAGCTGGATTGCTAATTGGCTGTTTTTAATCAAGTAATTGAAGCCAGTATGAGCGGTTTGGCGCGGCGGTTACGGTTCTGCTTCTCAACCTTGACCTTGAGGCCGGAGGTTCAATCCCTCGCTGTGAATTTCTTATTTCTTTCTTTTTATTTGAAGTTGCCATTTTCGAAGCGCTAGGCTTTCCACATTCAAAATTCGTGAGCGTGCGCTCGACTAGCATTCTACAGGCGCAATGCGGGCGTAATCCGGTGACGTCAGAGACCGGTCAATTTTCAAAGTTATATTTCCCTACGGGGAAATATATCGTTTCCGATCCTCGTAGCGCTAGTCACGTGATGCCATTTCGACCAATCACGTACTCGTATTTACATAGGCTATGTAATATAGGCCTATAATAGCGACTAGTGGGAAAAACTAGTTTCTCAGTTTTTTCATTCACCAAATTTAACTTAGATGATAATCTATAGAAAAGTATCCTATTATAACTCTTCATGGGATATCTTAGTATACAGTATATTAGACGACCGTCGGTCATATATATTGTGTTCATTGGGAAAGACACTTTGTCCTCTGCGTGTCAAGGAATATGGGTACTTGGACAGTATTAATTCAACAACTGGCCAATCACAACAGGGCCAGGAATACGGTCGTGTTGTACATACACACGTGCTGTCCGACAAAGGCACGTGTTTACGTACATTTTACGCTATGATTTAGTGGGACTAATCAACAATATCAAGGGGCTGGGCTTAGTGGAAAGGTACAAGACGTCACACAGTCTGTGTGTGTTTCCCAATGACATAAAGGCTACTATTTACTGGATTATAATGTTCAAAGTTTTAGGTGATTCGAATGGCCAAGCGGTTAACAGGGGCGCCGCAAGCTCTAGCCATAATATCGGTGCTGGTTCGAACGGCACGCTCGCCTATGGTTCTGGTGGTAGAACAAGTCTTCTCGGATAAGGACTATAAACCGTAGGCCCAGTGTATACAATGGCTCGTGTGCACTATAAAGAACCCAGTACATCCTTCGAGACGAGTAGGGGGATACCCCGGTGTACTGGAACAGACATCCCCTGTAGTGGACTACGAGAGTTGCTGGTACCGGGTAGCACAGACACGAAGGGACCCTTAGGGGCAAAGAAAGTCATTGATCGAGTTCCTAGTCCACACTTCAAGCACCCTGAGCATCTTACATCAGATGGATATGTGCGCTATATAAAACTACACTATTGTTATTATTATTATTATCCCATTATCATTATTATTATTATTATCATTATTGTTATCAGGACTCGACGTTTCGATTGAGTTGCTTCAGTTGTATATATGAACATGTTGGCAATTTTTTTTTTTTTTTTTTTTTTTTTAATAGATTTCTATGATGGATTGATATGCATTGGCGGATTTTACCCTTTAGGTTTGAAGGCCAACTGTTTTAGCGAATGGATACGTACCGTTCAGCCAGGTAAACCATTTTTAAGTACCCAGAAAATGAAATTTCCTTCCTTTTGAATGGTATTTTCTTTACACAGGAGGAAAATGCATGTTAACGGTATGGTGGTCTGTATAGACGAATTGATCACTGTTACTAAGTATAGTATACATGCATGATTCCCCCAGCGTTAGTAATTACATAACAACGGCTGTAAAATCACCATAGGGTCCTGCTGGTATATCGAAGATACAATCCAGCCAGCCACTTCTTCAAATAACCGACAGTCCAGGGTTCGAATCCCGGTTGGGGGAGCACCCATTTTTTTCACACTCCGTATTCCTCTTCTTTAGCTTTCAAATAAAGATATGAAAGTGAAAAACTCTAAACCGTCTTGCGGTAATGCTGGAAATATATATTTTAAAACGTTATAGAAGAGAAATCAGGATTAGAACACGGGACCTTCTGCTGTCTATGCAGAACCTTAACCAAGTAGGCCATTGAGGATTTTTTTAGGGATTTCAAATCTGAATAAAGCTCCTAATCCTACATAGCATGCGTATTAGACAGCTCTAGTCGTTGATGCATGGCAAATAGCAGAGATCAATATGATACGCCCTCCTATCAGGAATTGACGAGAAGATGAGATCTCAAAAGGGTAAAACCTTTTATTTGATTTAGCCCTGATGCAATCCAATTCTTAAAATATAAAGATTTGTTCTTAAAGGTAATTTCTTTGTTACCCCATAAGCTTTGTCTGAGGATTTCATCGTAATTATTAATTATGCCAGCGTTATTTTTATTAAACTCGGCACAGCACTCAATAACTTTGATATAAAAGGGTGGTATACTCTGAAACATCATATGATGTTTATGGTCAAAACTTGACATACCGAAAATTAATCTTTCGTTACCAAGTTTATTTATGTAATGTAACGGAAACAGCTTCCATTTTACATGTTTCCTAGAAAGTAGTTTCCGTGCCCAAGACATTTTAAGTGCTTTCACGTGTAGTGAAAAATCTGGCATACTTATGCTATGTCGGAGAAACAAAAAACACTCTCCGTATGAGAATGACACAACATAGATCAGCTATCAGAACATCTAAGCTTGATCAACCAGTAGCCGAACATTTCAACTTAGCTGGTCATTCAATTTCAAATTTAAGAGTGATTGCAATTGACCATAATGCCAGTTGGAGCGACAAAAATCGCAAAGATAAAGAGAATCACTGGGAACTTTTACTTAAAACAACCACACCATTTGGACTCAATATTAGGAACGTTCTCCCAGTACACTAAATTAAAGCAATGGCATTTCAATTTATTCTGGATAAATCATTTGGCTTATTTATTGAGGCTTGCCTCTAAAGTTTAGTTTTGGCCTTCATGTTTACTTGTTTAGGCTGTTAATTCTAATCTCACCCAGCCTATTGTTTCCAATCATGCTTGCATGAAATTCTCACTTTATACCATCTAGCTTTTTCTACCCTCACTCACTCGCCACTGAGGAAAGACTAGTGTTGTCCGAAAGCTCTGGTTCTATTTCTGGCTGTTTATTACGTTTACTTTTTAGCTGTTGCTTATAATTTTTGTATCTCTACTGAGATCCAGCCATTGTTTCCCACAGCATTGTTGTTTTTCAGTATTTTGCCTTTTAATATATATATACACACATATATACGTACATACAACCAACCAATACATTATATATATGTTACACACACACACACACACACACACATATATATATATATATTTATTTATATATATATAAAACATATATATTAAAATGTATTGGTTGGGACACCTTTTTTGGTACCTCTTTAACGTTTAAATTTATATTTACTGTAAATATCTCATTTTAGGAGGTTACATACTAAACGTCTTTAGGAACAGCTATTTAGATACCTGCGCTGACTACAATGATGGAAAATTAGAAGGCGAAATGAAAGCTTTAGAGTCTGATGGAAAATGGAAACTGATCTCGACTGAAAAATTTGAGGCTGGTCGCAAAGAATGGAATATGATTTTATTTATACACCAAATTTTGTAACTAGGCCTATATAATGCAATACAACAGAAGTAATTGGTTTAGTTTAATTCACTGAGAGAAACGTGGTGTTCTAATTGAATCGTGCTGATTTTTTTGCAGTATTTTATAGTTATTGTTTTCAACATTATGAACAGACTAATAAAACATTACCATAGCATATCATATCGTGTCCATGTTTTGTTGGTTATAGCCGGCCCTCTAAGTATCCAAATGTGTGTTCCATAAAACGGAAAATTCTCTGTGGACCTAAATATCAAGTGAAATATATTAAATATGTAATACTTATTCTGTTGACAATTTAATCTCATAAAATGATATATTTAATTTCATTTTATTTGGCATTATAAACATTAAAAATACAGTTACACTGTATATAAATGCAATTAAGAGAAATAATAAAATTTTTAAAAACTACAATTCAGCACGTAATTAAAAAAAATTATCTTTAAAATATTTATCTATCAAATATTATTGAGTTACATTGAACATTACATACCAATTATATAAATCGACATAAAAACAGATAATAATGCCAGGATAACCCGTGAAAGTTTAGTAGAACTTGTTTCCAACGGGGTCCTAAAATATCACATAAAGACAAAAGGGTGACAGAGAGATTTAGCATATAATGTACAAGACAAAACAATAAAAAATAAACGAAATATTTAAAATTCTCACAAAGGCCACCTAACAGTGTTAACCAAGATATGTTATAAACTGTGTTCAGTATTGCAGAATTCAAGGTGGTGCTTTAATTTTATTTTAAATATGTTGAGTGGTGTTGATCGTTTTATGTATGCCGGTAGTGGGTTCCATTGTTTGATTGCTGTGAGTAAAACATTGTATTGTTTAAATGTTTAATGTATGGGATACGAAAGTTTAACGAGCTACCATTTGTGAAAGTGATTATGTAAAATATTGAGTCGTGTAAAATGATTTTGTAAGTATTGTGGGGATAAGACGATGAGGGATTCTGTAAACGTCAAAAACTAAATAAAAAAAAAATATTTCTCCACCCACCCCTATTTATCATTTTTTTTTTAAAGAAGGGCAAACAAACAATTTATTATTTTTTATAACAAGTGTAGCCGTAGCCACGAATCTTATACTAGCCGCTATGATGAGAGAGTGTGTCAGCTATGCTGACTATCTGAATACAATCCATGTATAATTGTATCATCATTTCTTTATTACTCGTCTATTATTATTTCTGTAGGCATATATAAATCTTTAATATATGAACTTCCTACCATAAACTGTTTATCATTCTACTTACATTTTTGTTCACATAAACAATCAAAAAACTATTAAACTCTAAAACAAACTTCTCATAGCTGAAGTTATGCATGACGTCAACATACGTAGCCACGCCCCCTCGGCTGAACCCGTTGTATTTAGCAACTACCGTAGTCGCGCGAATAAGCGCCCCGTTTGAATAAGCGCCCTATCGAATAACCGCCCCTCATAACAAGAAAATTTACTTAAGCGCCCCTTTTGAACTAATTTGAATAAACGCTCCCTCAATAACCCAATCAATCCTGGGACTGGAGGATTTCATTTAATTTGATTTGATTTGTGGATTTGA